TGGCCCGCCTTGGCCTCCCAAAGGCCTGGAATTACAGCATGAGCCACTGTGCCTGGCCAAGAGGCAAACATATTTGTAATATCATTTTAGATAGCAAGTATTTTTTATAATACCAAATCCCACCACTTAGATGCAGCAGTCCTCTGTCACCTAGGCTGGATGCCGGTGGTGCTACTGTAAACCTCACTCTGAGCTCAAGCAATCCTCCCCACCCAGCCTTCCTGGCAAGTGGCTGGGAAATGATCAGGGGTATGTGCAAACTGCAGCCTGGCTAATTTGTCCTATTTTGGTTAAGACCACCAGGTGTTCCTGCTATGTTGCCCCCATTATCTTGAATTCCTGGCTTCAGCAACGCTCCTCTGCTTGGGCTCCAAAGCCCCTGGGATTACAGGCATGAAGGCAGCACTGCACCTGCCTATCAATATCAATGTTTTTTATAATATATGAATGTCACTTTAAAAAGAACAGAGGCAGGGTGTGCGGAGGCTTATGTCCTGTCTTTGGGAGGCTGAAGCTGGGTGGGAGCTGCTTGAGCCCCAGAGTTTAAGACCCAAACGTGCCAACCGTGACACGTCCGGCTCCACAAAAAATAGAAAATGAGCCAGTGTGGTGGGCACCGCCGTAGTCCAAGCTACTGTATGAGGCTGAGGAGAGAGACTGATTCGCCTGGGAGCTGCAGGCACAAGTGAGCGGTGATGGAGCCACTGCACTGCAGCCTGGAAGATGAGTTGGAGAATCCTCAAAAAGAAAAAAATAAAAAAAATAGGCGGGCGTGGGGGTGGCTCACGGCTGGTAATACCCCAGCACTTTGCAAAAGCCGAGTTGGGCCAGATCACAAGTCAGGAGTTGGAGACCAGCCAGGTCCACATGTGAACCCCCAATCTCTACTAAAATACACAAAAAATTAGCCGCGCGTGGTGGCAGTTGCCTGTGAATCCCAGCACTCGGTGAGGTTGAGGCAGAAGATGCCTTAGAACCTGCGGAGGCCAGAGGTTTGCGGTTGAAGCCGAGATCACAGAAAGGACAGGTGCTTTGCCTGAAGCTGCAGAGATCCACTTTCTTACTCTATAATCTACCTCTAACGCAATGGTTCTTGACCTAATTTTCCTGCGCCCCAAGACACCTGACAGCTATGACACACCCACTCCCATCAGTTCAGTGTCTGGCTATGACAGCGATCCTCACCACGGCTGAGGGCCTCTCCCGGAGTTGGGGAAAAGCCCTATGGGAACGCACATTGGCTGGGCAGAGGGGTTTATCTTAGCTTTGAGAATCACACATCTCATTTAGTTATAATGTGGCTGTACAGTTTTAATTGTTTAATTTTTAAATGTT